TATTATTATATGTATTACGATAATAAGTTGAACTTCATCCGACCAGAGAATTTCTTTGTGTAAAGCAGATTAATAATAATTATTATGCTGTAAGCAGACGAACACAGAAAAGGGAGGTGACTCCTTTCTTATTATTGTCGGCTTGTACAAATGTGTGGTTACCTTATTTTAGTGTTTATTAACCAGGGCAGAGCTACGATCCCCTGGAAATCGAAAAAGAGCTTTTATTAAGAGCTACCTCATTTTCAATCTCAGGCGGATGCCTTGACCGCACGAAGTATGAGGTTCACGGGAGGTTGTAGCTGATTATTTGATGTTGTTTTCAAGCTACTTCTCAGGTTAAGAAAGGACAGGAAGACTAGCAAAACATGGAATTGATGAATCATGGCTCCATATTTTGAAGAAAACCAGAAGGTGTAGATCTTTCCTACCAGAAGATCAAGAGTGTGGCTGAAAGACAGCAGTAAGAAGAAGCGAAGGAGTAGTAGTAGAAAGGCTGCAGAAAGAATCAGGAGCCCAGAGGAAGGGGCACAGGGGGTGAGTGGGTGGGGGCAGAAAGTGAAGATGAAAGCAGATGACGGAACATCTGCTAGAGAGCAGGAAATGAGGTGAAAGGAGACACATTTAGAGAAGAAAATGTTTCGGTCTCTACCTGGATTCGAACCCGGGACCTTTTGAATGAGAGGCCAACACCTTAACCTCTAGGCCACAAGAGCCCCCGAACAAAGTCTACTATCATAATAATTATATCATAGTCTTTATATTATGATATGTCATCCATTAAAAAGCCTCACTTTTCACATGCGCGTAGCGTTCTACAAATCCCGTGTGCAATGAAAAGCACGTAATGAGAGCTATTATAATTGTCCACCGTCTGACCAATAGATAAACATTCGTTCACTTTCATTTTGTGGTATGCGCAAAACGGGTAAAAATATCACTTTCTTTCTATATTTCGTGGTTCTGGTTCGCTCCACACAGTGACATTACCACTTTACTGTTACTGTTACAAGGGTAAACAATGAGTTGGCAGGAACGTTTAAATTGATCTCTTTATTGTACATTGTACTTTCATTGAACACTGAACAGCACGCGCACGCCATTGCGATGCTTATCATCGATGTACTTTTTTTTTTAAATGAGAATGTTTTTACCCCCATCGACACAAGTTAGACCATTTCGAAGGCGGTCTGTCAGGGCTAATCCGGGCTGAAAGGATAGAACATCCCAGCAGGAAGATGGAGATATTCGATTTAAAAATTTCTCCTCACTCGGGGTCGAACTCGGGTCTCCTGCATGCAACAGCAAAGTGCCTGACCACTACACCAGACACGCTGGTCGGTGTTCTCTAACATCGAGTTATCTCATGCAGGATGCTTGTTTTGGACATTCAGCTCTTAAAGAAAGAAGGAAGACTTTAATTTCCTGTATTATTTGTAACTTGAGTATTGAGTTTTGAGTTAAGAGAAGGATATTATTATTGACATAATAGCGGCCATACTGGGCAGGGAAGAAGCAAGACAAATAGACAGAAACAAGAAAGGGAAATAAAAGAAGTAGGATCGACCAGTGGCGCCCTCCAACACCCACAAAAAGGTTATGAAACAATGATATGTTTATTCGTCATTCTGTCGTGTGTATAGTTGTTTAAAATGTGCGCAACATTGCCTTTGGTCTGTTGATGATCGGGCGTACATTTTTATGCATCCACTCTGTCCTTCATCATCATCCAGTGCCAGATCTGCGGCAGACATCGGTGATTATGGTTCTCTATTCATTCCTTTGCTCGGACGCTCTATAAAAAGTTACGTTTCCCTGATCTTTCCCTGTTACCCACTTGTTTAGGTGCCTTAAGTATGTTGTTCTGGGCCTACCCCTGACTCGCTTGCCCTCAATTTTGCCAGTGAGAGCTAGATGTTCAAGACCCTTATGTCTATTCAGGTGTCCCAAAAACTGCATTTGTCGTTTCCTGATTGTTTTAAACATTGGGCGTCCCACGTGGGCTTCATCAGGCACTACCTCATGTGATTTCTTTTCCTTCCACGATACTCTTAGCAGTCTCCTAAGAAACCACATTTCTGTTGCTCTGTCTTTAGAGAGGTTTTTTTAATGTGTCCCTAGAGAGTTAACCAATTGATTTCTTTAACGCGTAGGAGTTTGTACGCCCCCATCGACACAGACAGGGTCATTAAGGAGGCGGGCGACTGCGAAGTACCCAACCACTGAACCACAGACGCCGGTAACGAGTGAATGAAGATATGGGAGTCTATTAGAGTTAGAGTTACTTTAAGCGACAAACTATAAAGCGGACTTTCACAACGTTTTGTTCAGAATGATCACCCGAGAAGCTTTTTCTTGATTCAAATGAGGCGTACACATTATTATACTTGGTTTTATAAAATATCTCATGGTTAAATGTGGCTTGTTATCGTTAGGATTTTTTTTTTTGCTATTCATTTGTTTGCATGTTCATTTTGCATTAAAATGTGTGTGTGTGTGCGGGAGTGTGTGTGTGTGTGTTTGTGTTTGTGTGTGTGTGAGTGTGTGTGTGT